TATAAAGCAATAAGACACATGCAATATATAATTAGCTTGTAAAACAATGTAAACAACTTAGCTCGTTAATGATAAAACAATAACAAACTCAACTTTTCTTATTTAAAAGTAATATAACTTTTGTGGGAGGTTCTTTAACCGACAACCACCACTATGAGCCATAGTGATGATACAACGTTTTACCTCACGTTGCCCAAGGACCATCCTATACTTTGCCGTGATATAGGACCTTACTATTGCTTAGTAGATCCACTAGTTTAATCTTACGTAATCATCTAAAAAGAATGATACGTCAAGTCCCATGTTGGCGCATGATTCTTATGGAGAGTTGAGTTAATGTGAACTTGCGTCCCCAATTCGGTGCTCAATACTACTCCCAAAATACTTTGGCTCATAAGTGCTTTAAATACATCTTTCTTTAATTGAGATAATTACTCAATACCTAGCCCAAAGGCTCTTTTGGAAAACATGGTTCCTTCCTTACTTAAATGAAAAAAACATTTATAAACTTCTTCGGGAATACTTAGTTCCCTAATAGCTTTTGAGAAAATGGACTCAACTTTAAACTCTTGACTTAACTTGAAACCCAAGACTCTTACACGACTTGAAACTTGAGACTCTTTTCTTGACTTGGAACTCAACACTCTTGCTTGACTTTGAAACTTGAAACGAAGTTAGAATGTTCAATAACGACTCTTGAAAAGCTTGGAGGACTTGCTTGAACTTACTTCTTAACACTCCTTGACTTGACTCTAACTTCACCTTAGCTTGATACTAACTCGCCTTGAATTGAATTATGAATTCAAGGTGTATGATCACACGTATTTAGATGAGTTTGGGATGTTTAGAAACACTTTGGAGCGTTGGAAACAACTAGGGAACATAGGTATAACACCTAGGAACATGCATGAGAAAGCATGGAAAGAAAGGGGGAACATGGCGTCATTGGCGCTCTGCAAGGTGCGGAGCGCCAGCCCTTGAAGGTCAGAAGCCCCCTGCTGGAGCTCTGAGTGGCGCGCCGCCCCAAGGGCTGGACCTCAGAGTCCCCTTTGGGGCGCGCTGGCAGGCGCGACGCGCCAGTCCCTTCCCCGAAAAACTCGACTTTTCTCCCCTTTTTCTTCAACTCTAAACCATCCTTACTTCAATGGATTTAACCCCAAACACTAAGGATCATCAATCTCTCAACATACAATAGATTACAACTCAAAAACACAACCCAATCATGTCCCACAACCAACAATAACTTCAACAACAACAACTAACAACTTCAACAACAAATCCAATCTTTTCTCAAATCATAAAAATGAGCTTGGGGTGTGGGGGAAAGGATCAACCCACACAAAGAACTCACATACCTTGATAGGGATCACCCCCGACGATTTCCACGACGGGACTTTGACGGAAACTAGTTGATCTCCTCTTTCTTCTCTTCTTCTTCCCCTTCTTCTCTTCTTCTTCTCAAGCCCTAGCTTTTTACCCTTTTAAAATGGGATACAAATGATCCAAAATCAGCCTAACACACAATATAACCCCAAAAGAAAAACTAGGGAAAAGACCAAAATGCCCTTAAAATTTTCGGACGGATTCCCTGCCGACTGCCCAACTTTCAAAGGCCATAACTCGCTCATACGAACTCGGAATTGAGAAAACTCGATGGCGTTGGAAAGATCATTCCACAAACTTTGCAACCATAACTGGAACTCCACCTAATTCATCCTGAGATAGAATTTATGGCTGTTCAAAGTTGACCAAAAACTCACCTTTTCCATACCTAGCCAAAATTTTCCAGATTTTCAAATTCCTTCCAAAAATGAAAATTTCAAATTCTAAGCCTCTTCTAAGTTATTTCAATTTGCCGGATGTTACATATACAATGCCTTTGAAAGAAATAGCGAGACGTTTCTAACTAATATCTCAAAAATGAAGATATTCCTCAATAGCACCGAACAGGATTCAACACTAGTAATATTAGTAACTTTCCTATAAGAGGTAAAGAAAACAAAAGTTTGTATAATGGACAGATTAGAAGGGTCAATTTTACCCTCCAACAAGATACATCATTAATTCATTAATTTTTGGAGTTGCAATTATACTTGTTTTCCCTTCTTTTCTTATTTCTTTTTTTCATTCTAGTCATTGTAAAAAAAAAAAAACTACTCTGACTATTCATTGTTTTTAATCCTACAAATTGAATATTTGTAAGGTATAAATATAGTGTATAATTCTTTCTTCAATGTCTTTTTTTATTTTTTGTGTCTCAAATTTATTTTTAGATAATAAATATTATCCTTAAGTAAATAATGTTACAAATACATTGCCCATATCACATGATTGACATCAAATATGAGTGTATATGATCAAATATGAGTGTATATGGTGAATGTGTTGATTGGTGTCGTCTACTATGGATATATAATGTTATATCTTTCTCTGGCTAGGCATCAACTCTCGAAGAAATAATCCAACCCCGTTGAAACAAAAAGTATAAGAAGAGTCGGAGGTGTATATGATTTAAATTTTATGGACTCCATTCGTAAGATTTTTAACATTTATGAACTCAACATATGAAAAAACTTTATTTTTATGTTTATAATCCTGCTACGAGTCAGTTTTTGGCTCTATCAAAAACTCAATTCTGAATAAAGATATCATCTCATTCACTATAGTTCGGTATGCAATACTGAACTATTGGGATCTATGGTTCACTATAACAATTGAAAGTTTCTCTTCTGAAACTAATGTGTGGCCTGCAAATAAGATTATTCTTGATGTACCTCTAAGTCTGTTACATTCTACTTTCTATTTTAGCTAAATGTTTGATTTGATCCTTGATTCTAGTCTACTTTACAAGTAGAGAGTAGAATAGTGGCCCTCTACGAAAAATTAAAAAAATCGTCTAAATCATGTTAAATGGCCTTTTCATGCTAAAGTAATAGTGGGGATTATGGTGAGGTTATATGTATTGCTCCCCTATATCATTACATAGGCTCTCGTAAGTATTTTGAAAACAATGTGTTCAAAAGACTTATCACCAAAATATTCATGGGCTGACACACACAAAAAATTGAGAAAATCGCCTAATTCATGTAAATTGGCCCCTAAATGTCCGATATGGACTCTAAAAATTGTGACATTGTACGTAGTGCTTCCCCAACTCCCTACAGAGGGTTCCGTAAAAGTTTCGTAAAGAAATCATCTGAAAGTCATATCACCAAAATATTCATGGGCTAACACACGAAAAAACTATGAAAATCGCTTAATTCCTGTAAATCGGCCTTAAATGCCTAATATGGACTCTAAAAATTGTGAGACTGTATGTACTACTCCCCCCAACTCCCTACGGAGGGTTCCATAAAGGTTTCACAAAGAAATTGTCCGCAAGTCATATCACCAAAATATTATGGGCTAACACACATGAAAAATTGACAAAATCATCTAATTCCTATAAATTGGCCCCTAAATGCCAATAATGAACTCTAAAAATTTTGAGATTGTACGTAGTGCTCCCCAACTCCCTATAGAGAGTTCCATAAAGGTTTCGCAAAGAAATAGTTTGAAAGTCATCTCACCAAAATATTCAGCTAACACACACGAAAAATTTAGAAAATCGCTTAATTCCTATAATATGGCCCCTAAATGCCCCATATGGGCTCTAAAAATTGTTAGACTGTATTTATTGCTCCCTCAAATCCTTACAAAGAATTTTGTAAAGGTTTCGCAAAGAAATCGTCTGGAAACCATTGTGAGATTGTACATACTGCTCCCCCAACTCTCCATGGAGGGTTCCGTAAAGGCTTCGCAAATAAATTATCTTGAAGCCATATAACCAAAATATTAATGGGCCAATACACGAAAAATTAAGAAAATCGCTTAATTCCTGTAAATTGACACCTAAATGCCCAAAATGGACTCTAAAAATTATGAGAATGTATATATTTTTCCCCAATCCCCCTGCGGAAGGTTCTATAAAGGTTTTGCAAGTGCATAAAAAATCTGAGAAAATTGTCTAATTCTTATAAATTATCCTCTTAATATCCAAAATGTACTCTAAAAATTATGAGAGTGTAAGTATAACTCCCTACAGAGATTTCTGTAAAGGTTTTACAAACAAGTTGTCTGGAAGCTATATCACAAAAATAATTATGGGATAACACACTCGAAAAACTGAGTAAATCACTTAATTCTTATAAGTTGTCCCCTAAAAATTGTGAGACTGTACGTAATGCTCCTCCAAATCCCTACGGAGGGTTTCGTAAAGGTTTCAATTTTTTTTTTATCCGTAAGTTATATCACCAAAATATTCATGGGCTAAGACACACGAAAAACTGAGAAAATCACCGAATTCTTGTAAATTGGCCCCTACATGCCCAAAATAGACTCTAAATTTTTTTATATTGTACGTACTGCTACCCCAACTCACTACGGAGGGTTCTGTAAATATTTCACAAAGAGATCGTCTAAAAGTCATATCACCAAAAAATTTATGGGCTAACACACATGAAAAACTGAGAAAATCGCTTAATTCATGTAAATTAGCCCCTTTATGTCCAAAATGAACTCAAAGATTGTGAGAGTATACGTATTGCTCGCCCAACTTCCTACGACGAGTTCTATAAAGATTTTGTAGAGAAATCATTTGAAAATCATATTACTAGAATATTCATAGAAAAATGAAAATGTCGTCTAATTATATTCCTATAAGTTGGCATAGACTTTAAAAATTGTAAGATCGTATGTTAAGCTCCTCCAACTCTAAAACCTTTTCATCAAAAATTCATTAACTTATCCATATACAATATGCTAAAGAAAGTGACAAAATCATCATCCACATCTTTCAAGAAAATGACACGTGGCAAAGTAAAGGAAGAATCAAGAATTGATGAGTATATATTTATTTATTGAGACACGTGTGTACTATAATGCTAATCTATTTTTTATTATATTATATATGTGGCAAAATAAAATAAATTACTTACAACTTACTAGTGTGTGAGAAAAAAATGAATAGCAAGATGAAGGAGAAGAGTGAAGCGGTGTTGGACATGTCACCGACATCAACGGTTGAAGGTGGTGTTGAGGATATCTACGGTGAAGATCGTGCCACCGAGGATCAACTCATCACTCCATGGACTTTCGTTGTTTCTAGGTAATCGTAATGTTTGTGTCAGCTTGTGAACGTCTCAAATTAATTTTGCGATTTGCTATCCTTCCTTCCACTAATATAAGTATCGATAATTCCTCAATGAGGATCACGTATGTCTCCTTCTGTCTCAATTTATATATGTGGTATTGTTTCGGTTTTGAAGAGTCAAATTTTGGTTATTGATATATTTGTTCAATTCGAACATAGAAATCATAAGTTTTTTTTGTTTGAAATACTTCTTTTATTTTAATTTGTTTCACAATTTATTTTGTTTGATTTAAAATACGAGTTAAGTCAAATTAACTAATGTTGAGTCTAAATTCATATAGAATCTCCAAAAGTTTTTTAAGGGATTTTTTTATATGTTTAGAAACTTTTTTCTAAATAAAAAATAGTAATAAGTTAATATAACAGTGGTTAATACTTTAAAATATTTAAGTAACATTTGAAAAAGCTTCTAATCAAAAAAATCATTTTTGTCTTTTTCATTTAAAAATCAAGACAAATAAATTAAAATAAATAAAGTAAAAATATAAATGGTAAAAAATATTATAAATCACAGTAATTAACCACTTAAATATTTGAAAGTACCTATTGATTTGCCATCAACATGATACGGTGAAATCAAGTTTTTGTTTCTGTCAAGGAATAAAAATGATTAATTTTCAATATACCAAAAAATGTACTTAGTACATGATTTAATTTTTTTTCTCATTTGACCGTCTTAAGTAATAGCTGAGATAAATATTTAAATATTATCTAAACAATATTATAAATTACAATAATTAATCATATCACGCAAGTACAAAAATTGTGGTCAAAAGAAAAATTTGCTTGACTCTCGAAATCTCAAAAGAATCATAAGAACAAAGAAAATAGTAGTATCTTGTTAGTAGCCGTGTATTTAAACCTAAGAACTCTTTTCAACGTACCAACACCTTAACAAAATGTTAGTGATTGATTAGCTTAAAAAATGGTGATTACAGTTGTGTTAATGGAATCTTTAAGAAATATTTTTGACTAACAAACTTGTGATCTAAGTTGTACGGACTCTTTACTTTCGATCCGCACCCGTGTCGGATTCTCTAAAAATACATTACTTTTGGTGAATCCGATTTGCACCCATTGACATTTCTAAAGAGTCCGAGCAACATAGCTTGTGATCATTGAGTAGGGAGATCATATTCATGAATTAGTAAGAGTTTCAAGTTTGTGAATTAAGAAGTAGTTTTTCTGATCATTTTTGGGAGTTTGTAATCTTTTATCTGCAAATTTGGCTGTAAAATGTTGTTATATTTGTTAACTTTTTGGCTGGAAAAAATTAGTGGTTACAACTTGTTGAGGGATCCGCGTTACAACAAAGGGCTCGCGTTCACGGAGAAGGAAAGAGATGTTCATTACTTGCGAGGCCTTCTTCCACCTGCGGTTATACCCCAGGAACTTCAGGTACATAAACTGATTAATGTTACAAGTTGGAAAAGTTGTTCCAGAGTGATCTATAAGTCATGAATTCGAGTCGTGAATCAGTTATTGATGTTTGCATCATGTAGGATCTTACATTATTATATACCTTGTGTAATGTGGCCCTTTCCCGGACCTGCATGAACACGTGATATCTTGTGTTATGTCATCATTTCAGGAGAGAAGACTTATGCAGAGTCTTCGCGGATATGAAGTCCCTTTGAATAAATATGTTGCCCTGATGGAACTAGAGGTAAACTATAAGCACAAATTCTTTACTTATGAATTTAGTTGTGCATCGAGTTTTGCTATTCATATGAAGGGGTGCGAGTCATTGTCATGTATGATCACTTAACTATCCATCGTAAGTCCATAAGACCAAGTAAAGTCGCCTAACTTTTTATTCGATTAAAGTAACTGAACTTTATCTGCTATAAGAGTTTTGTGTAACACAAAAGTCATCTTGAGAGGTATGTTTTGTCATGTAGCGGAAAAAAACTTAGACTTAGGGACTTTACCGTAAAGTTGGTAAAGATTGTATGACATAGTTCAGATTTCGAGAGTCAACAAAGTTTATTCGTATTCCTTTTGAATATTTTGAATTGTTAATTTTTGTGACTTATTGTACTTTTTATGTAGTTTCTAACTATGTAAATTATTTTTCAAAAACCTTAAAAATTGTGTGTCCAAATTCACAGTCAAAATAAAAATTTTGACTTTCGAAATTTGAACTATGGCATAAAAATTGGGACGTCCAGAGTATGTAAAGTTATTGTTATAGTTGGTGAATTTCAGTTTGTTTAATGTGGCAAAAAAATGGTTTTGTGACTTTGTTATTATAACGGGTAAAGTTCAGAGGCCATACGTGAAATTGATGTTGTAATGGTATTTTATTTAGCCAGCCTTCTCATTCTTCCTCTGTTTTCTTTTCTGTATTGTATTTGCAGGAGAGAAATGAAAGGTTGTTTTACAAGCTTCTTATCGATAATGTAGAAGAGTTGCTTCCGATTGTCTATACTCCAACTGTTGGTGAGGCTTGCCAAAAATATGGAAGCATTTTTAAGCGTCCGCAGGGTTTATACATCAGTTTGAAAGAAAAGTATGGTACTTTTACGAGTTAAAAGCGTATTTACTGCTTCGTAGTGAAAGTAATTCAACTAAAGATGTAAGTGTTTATTTATTTGCAGAGGAAGGATCCTTGAGGTATTGAAAAACTGGCCTGAAAGGAAAATACAAGTTATTGTCGTTACCGATGGTGAAAGAATTCTTGGACTTGGAGATCTCGGCTGCCAGGTAATCCGTCGACACATATTTTATTAGTTTGTAGTCGAGGATCTATCAGTAACAACCTCTCTATCCCACAAACGTAGGTGTAAGGTCTGTGTATGTAGTGCTCTCTCCAAACCTCACTTGCAGGATTAATTATACTGAGTATGTTGTTGTTGTGTATTGTGTGTGTGGTAGCTAGGTGTATAGAAAGGGTTCACTTGATTAGAGGTAAGCGGTAAATTTTGTAGGTCACGGGTTCGATTAGCAAAATTAATGGCTAATGCTTGAGTCGGGATAGATTGCCTACATTACACCCCTTGGGGTGCAGTCCTTCATGGACTCCCTCAACATAGGAGAAGTTTGTAGTATAGTGTAAAAATTGCTTAAAATTTGTGTTAAGTTTCAACATTCTTGCATTTTTGTGAATCCTCTAGTTAGATTCATTGGCCCAAAAAAACAAATTTTCTTTTCTTGTTTGAGTACGTTGTAATGCATCGAATGAGTAATCCTGACATGGAATATGAATTCCATTATATTGTCCCAGGGAATGGGTATACCAGTAGGGAAATTGGCTTTGTATACTGCACTCGGAGGAGTCAGACCTTCAGCGGTACCAAAACTCGTTAAAACATATATACTACTATGATTTTGTAACTATGAAAGTGCTATCGTTTTGCTCGAATGTGCAGTGTTTGCCTATAACAATTGATGTGGGAACAAATAATGAGCAACTATTGAAAGACGAATTCTACATTGGACTCAGACAAAAGAGAGCTACTGGGAAGGTCAATTTTATAATAGCATCACTCTATATCGTACTTGTTACCACGTAGAAATATAAATTGAGATTTGCGGTGTGTTCTTGAGATATGTCTGTTTCGTTTTGATCCTTGTAGGAATACTACGACTTTCTTGATGAATTCATGAAGGCTGTGAAGCAAAACTACGGTGAAAAAGTTCTTGTACAGGTTAGTAGTTTGAAACTTGTTAAGGACCACATCGCCTTTCATGTAAAGTCAAAGTCTGATATTTGTAACGTCATCTGCAGTATGAAGATTTTGCGAATCACAACGCTTTTGAGCTGTTGGCGAAATATGGTACCGCACATTTGGTATTCAATGATGATATACAGGTATGCTGCATTTCTTTTGGCCTATATCACCGGACATTTGCTTTTGTTCGGATTTTTGATCCCATTAATGCTGCAGGGGACAGCTGCTGTGGTACTTGCGGGGCTTGTTGCATCGCTTAAGCTGCTCGGAGGGTCCTTAGCTGATCATACATTCTTGTTCTTCGGTGCTGGAGAAGTAAGGCTAGAACTTTCTTTTAAAGACTCAAGTTTTCAATTGTTTCCATAGACGAGCTACGTCTAACAGCATGTAAAAAAGGATACAAATGGTAGCAATGAATGACTTAAGAGAAAGAATACAATAACTGGATGAAATCCCAAATTTCTAGTGATTTTGTGATTTACTCATGACGCGATTTACATTCGGAGGAGATAATATGCATCTGAAATCATATAATCTTTTTGCCTCTACTCGTGTCGATAGCAGATATAGATGGATAATTTACATTAAAAGATATTGAAATGATCTTAAAGTCATTAAATTGTTCTTCATGTCGATCTCTTCGTGATCACAGGCTGGAACTGGCATAGCAGAACTCATAGCACTTGCGATCTCAAAGAAGGTGGAAGATTTTGGTTGCCAGTGGTATATCAAAGTCGTATTCTCATTTAGTATGTTTCACTTGATAAATTGTGTTTGTTATCTGTAGACAAACGCTCCTGTGGAGGAAGCGCGTAAAAATATCTGGCTCGTGGACTCAAAGGTAGGAAAATATACCATCTCCTAGGCTAGTATTTGTCTTAAATTTCACATTTCACAAAGTTTACGATTGGTTCCTCTGCTTACATAGTCTATATAATTGAGTGGTTATGTGCAGGGTTTAATTGTAAACGCTCGAAAGGAATCACTTCAAGCTCACAAGAAATCTTGCGCACATGAACACGAACCTGTCAACAATCTCCTTGACACTGTTAAGGTTTGATCGATGAGCTCCCTAATCGGGGATTACTACTTTTAAAATTCTTTTGTATGTATTAACACTTCTAAAGTTTATTTAGGCCATTAAGCCAGCTGCCATAATCGGAACGTCTGGAGTTGGACAAACATTTACTAAGGAAGTGATTGAGGCTATGGCCTCCATTAACAAGGTGCTTCATTTCTGCGATTTTCCATTTCCTCTTCTCACCAATCGAAATTTTCTTGAGCTGACGGACTAAAATATGATTTGCAGAGACCTCTCATTATGGCTCTCTCAAACCCGACTGCACAATCCGAATGCACTGCTGAAGAAGCTTATACTTGGAGTGAGGTAAGTAGTTAATATTCATGACAACGGAGGCATATGTAAAAAATCACTAATATTTTGAACCATTATTTCGAAAGTACAATGAGTTCAATGCTAAAGTTCTGTTTTAGGTTAAATCATGTACTCAAAGCTCACGACGTTGATCGGTTTCTTATTGTTTTATGAAAAGGGTCGAGCCGTCTTTGCAAGTGGAAGTCCCTTTCCTCCAGTAGAGTACAATAACAAACTCCACATTCCTAGCCAGGTTTGTTAATGCATATATATGCTTAAATTCCTTTTGTAAAGTACCATCGATCACAATCAACTCGATTATGGTTAATTTACGTTCTTTCATGCAATATCACAGGCAAACAATTGTTACATATTCCCAGGATTTGGTTTTGGCTTGGTCATGGCTGGCGCTATCCGTGTGCACAACGACATGCTTTTAGCAGCTTGTAAGTACTCTTTTGTTTCAATTTCTTTGTCTTACTTTCCTATTAAGTTCGTTTTAAAAAGAATGTCTCTTTTCTCTTTTGATAAATGATAACTCTTTAATTTTAACTTCCCACATGGCATGTTCATGTACCACATAGTCAAAAGTTGCATTTACTTTCTTAAACTCCGTCTCAAGTCAAAACTAGACAACCAAATTGAAACAGAGGGAATATTTGAATTACAAACCTTACATTGAAATCTCATATCTTGACCATCATAGGTGGTAAATGGGCGAGTTGGGTCAAATTTGGACAAGTCAATCCCCTCTCCAACCACCCAACGTGTCACATTCTCCCCTCTACTTTAAACTTTAAGTATTAATTTTTGTTTACGCGAAACAGCGGAAGCGTTGGCCAGTCAAGTAACTGAAGAACATTATGGCAAGGGGATGATTTACCCTCCATTTGGTAATATCAGAAAAATCTCAGCTCATATTGCTGCTAATGTTGCTGCTAAAGCGTATGAACTCGGTGAGCCCATTTCTTCCTTTTTCGTCATATACGTCTTAATTGGATTTAAGTTATATGTACCGATAACGCTAAAAACTTTACAGCATTCGTATAAATCAATGTCCATTATATAGAGCTATTTATAATTACCTTTTAAGTGATTTGATTGTGTTACATACACACAGGCATTGCGACACGTCTGCCTCAGCCTGCAGATTTGTTGAAGTATGCTGAGAGTTGCATGTATACTCCGAATTATCGCAGCTATCGCTGATAAGTTAAATTAAATAAATAACCTTTCACATGTTGTAATTTTATTTATAGGTAGGTAAAATAATGTTCCCTTTTAAAAGGATGATCTTTTTGGTAAATTTTGTAGTCCATGTAAAAGCAGCAATGTGTTTGTACTGTAGTTTGAATAAAATGGATCTTGATTACCCTTCATGATATATAACAATAATAATATTATATTCCAAAAAAGGCCAAATATATTCTCAAACTTTCAAAAATGATATGTGTATATCCTCGGTTATATATATCCTTCTAGTGAAGGAACCATGTTTGTGAAGGTATGCGTCCACTAACAATGGACCAGGTCCTTTGATAGAATTCGTACTTTTTATGGGAATTCAACAAAGAACTCTCTGCGTGAAAGTTTGAAACCTTGTTGGTAGTCCATGTGTCGAATCAGGACAAAGCTAGTAAGGGTTTAGGAGTTCATTTGAAAGTTACACTGTACATATATGGTTAATATTATATTTTATGTATATATATATATATAGTTAATGTTGCACACCACCTTTATGAATGCTGGCTCCACCACTGTGTCGAAATCAATTTGGAAGTCAAACTCAATTAGTTCTTTTTTTCTTTTGAACAAGTTTCTAAATTCATTTTTTGTTCTTTTATTTGAATTCATAATAACAATAACTTGCGCATTTCATTAATGAACAGAAAAGTGGAGGCCCAAATTATAACACTTAAGTAGAGCATGATAAGAAAGCAATCCGAGAAGAAGAATTAAGTAAGATCATATTCCTCAATCCTACTAGCTAAAGGTATCAATGGTTTTTTGTTCCGAAAAGTCTAATTTTGATCGTACAAAATAAAACAAACGAACATGGTATAATATAAAATAACCATCCTAACTGTCCTTTTGACTCTAGCTCTTTCGCCTTCAACGCTTCCTTCACCTTGAGAAGAACCAGTGTCCTCCATTCATTCTGTTAAATGAGATGAAATAAGCATCATAAAATGTGTTAAGGTTGATTGAACCAAGGAAGTATAAATTTAAAATGTGTTAAATTTACCCTCTTTATAGTGCTATCATATTCCTTGAGATAACTAGTAAATTCTGCAACATCTCTCTTGTCAATAGCAGCTGCCAAACCCTATCATTTGCAAAAGTATTCTCCTAAATTATTTTTATATAATCATATTTGGAACACATTATGATCCTAGAGTTAATGCAAACCATGACATACCATTAGAAGCTTGCACTCACGCGTCCCTGAAAATGTTGTATCCAGTATCTACAAATTAGGATGTATTATGTCCTTGAAACATATATCATGATTCATGTCCCGTTGAAATCTTAAGAGTCTTGAAAGGAAAACACTCTACCTGATATCGCTCCAAGGCGTTGTTAATTGCAACAACATCACCTCTAAAAAGTTGGCAAATACCAGCATTTAGGAGATGACCTCTAACTCCATACTTTAACAAGTTGTTTCTGATGGAGTATGTTGCTATCTCCTCAAACATCGCGATTGATCTTTGAAATCTATGTGACAAATAGAGAATGAAAAACTTCAGTTATTCTTTCCATGTTCAACAATACAAAACTATATTATGTACTACTTAAAGATGAAGAATCTTACTTTCCTACTTTGGCTGAGTATTCTGCAATTTTCTGCCTACACTGATTTGCAGATGATGTTAAATCCATACTCTGGAAAAGATCAGTTGTTTTCTGATAGTAAACGATAGCCAGCTCCAAATTATTCTCGTGTTCATATAATTTAGTAATTTCCTAGATTCAAAAGATTTTTTATGTATCTTGCAAATGCATAATGAAAACATTTAGCAGTTGTCTATTGAAAACAACAAATGCATATATCTGGATTATCATCGACAATATAGTTGTACCTGATAATGTCTTGTGGTCGCGTTTAGCCTTCCAATGTCCAGCAATATGTGTGCTGCTTTCTCTAGACATGATATTGTTTCTGCAAGAAATAGACATATATCCATAAGAACGTCATACAAGATTTGTCAATAGCATAATAAGGCAACAGACAACCTTTCAAATTTTTCGTCATCTTGTAGTAATCAGCAGCAATATCGTAAGAACGAGCAGCCTCATGTTTCTGATCCAACTGATAAGATAAGAGAAAATAGTTTTAAGAATTTAAGTTTTTGTACAAAAATTATAACAAAGAGGATTAATAAACCTACCTTCAGATGACAACTTGCTAATTTTACATATACTGCTCCAACTCGATCCCCTGAAAGATAAACATTGTAAGATTAATGTGCATCTAATACTATATAAAACAGTAAGTAATCTTTGATAGATCCAACAAGAACACAATAGCATGCTCAGTATTCTATTTGCCCATTAAAATCTATTGGCATCTGACGCTAATTCAACTCTAAAAGCTAGCTCATTAAGAGAAAATTACACAAGTCTATATACGCAGACCACCCGTCCATTTTCAATCAATGTGAGACTTTGACTCACTCTAACACACTCAACTAGAGCATGTAGGCCTGGCAGTCGAAACAGGATTTGATACCATGTAAAAACACGATACCGGAACCTAATTTGACCCCCAAAAGTAATTCATAATAGGAAAATTGCTCAAGTCCGTATAAGCAAATTCCATTCAATTATTAGGAATTCTCTAAAAGTAATTAAGGATCATCTTAGACCTTGCTACACTATATGGATTCAATTTCATTATTCAAAAAACAAATTAGGAATTCTCTAAAAGTAATTAAGTATCATCTTAGACCTTGCTACACTATATTCCACTATCAAACAAACAAACAAATAAAGGTAATGCACTAGTACTCGTAGACTGTGATCGAAATCTCAGATACACACTTTAACTAAACTAAGGTCTTATTATCCCAAAAACCTATTTGTTTTGTAATATTATACATCTTTTGCCTTACGTGATGGGTTCAGGGGTCCAGGGTTAAAAGATGTGTCTCTGAAATTTCGGTCATAATCTAGGGGATACTTGTGCCTTATCCCAAGAATAAATGGTGTTGTAATACAAACATGATTTGGCGAATCTGAAGCGATCAACAGCTTTATAGAGTAAATCTGCAGCGTCATGATATTTGGACCCGAAAATTCCCCAATCATTGAGTTTCTTCTCAGCTTTCTTCACCAATTCTTCTCCTCTCGATATTTGATCTCCCTTTATGAAGAGGCCGTTAATCACTACAATAGTTAAGCAAAACATGATTAGTAACAAAAAATTAAAAGTATTAAGAATTGATTAGTGGTAAAAACAAACCTGATTTATCCAACTTCATATTATTAGCAGTTTCCCTAAATTTCTTCACAGCTTTCTTCACCAATTCTGATATTTGATTCCCCATTGTGACGAGAATTTTCTAAACCAAATTTCAACTAAATCCTATTTAAAACCGTACTTACAAATAGAACGAATTTGACTCAAAATAGAATTGTTTGGAAAAACAATTAACGATCAAAATTACCATCCTTGTCAAATTAGGTAATATGTATTCATATTATCTCGATAATTTGTATTTAAAAGAAGTGGTTTATCTGAATTGAAATTTGTTATGAATTTATTAATTAGTAGGATAATATGTAATTATTTTGAAGTGAATTGATAATCTTTCTATTCTTTTTTATATGTCATTCTTATTATAAATAATTGGTTCATAATATTTGTCATTTTATAAAATCAATGCATAAATTATAATATTTTTCCTATTATATCCTTGATAGTTAATTAGTCTTGAATATAGATATTTGACCGACCTAGGAAAACTAATAAGTAATTAATATTCATTGTAATTACTTCATACATTGATTAATTACTCTCAATATTGCACTATTCTATAAAATCTAATTTTGAAAGCAAATTCAACAAAAAAATAAAAAATAAAAGACAACGAAAAAATAAAAAATAATCTTGAAAGTTGAAGCTTCAACAAATTTTATCAAGGAAGATGACACTTCAAAAGGTTTAAAGAGTGTAAAAATAGAAGACTCAACCATAATATGTGAAGGCCAATTTGAGAAAAATCAAGATCCAAATAAAGAAATTTTGCACAATTTCGACTTGAATAAATTTTCAGACGAAGCATACAAGGATGAAGAATTACAACATATATTTAATACTATGCTAAAAAAATTAGTCTCAAAGTTTTATTAAATCCATATCTTTTTTCTTGTGATAAATAAAGAAAAAGTACCTCTTATATTGATAAGATGAAGTTGATCATGATCTAGAAAACAGAAAGTGAATGAAAAACTTTGAGTTGTTTTCCGTATCAAATTCTAGGTTGTATACATTCAGAATGTTTTTCAGCTTTTGAAATATATAATTATTATTATTTCAAAAGTTGTATAGTAATTTTTGAATTGACTTATTTTAAATATTTTTAAGCTGAAAATAGCTTTCAAGCGCAATATAGAAAAAACTGGTACTTTTAATGGGAATTCAATTGAGAATCCTATGCGTGAAAGTTTGAAACCTTGTTGGTAGTCCATATGTTGAATCAAGGGCGGGGCTAGTAAGAGTCTAGGGGGTTCATCCGAAAGTTACATCGTACATATAGTAAATGTTGCAAATACATCTATGAATTTTGGCTCCACCACCACTATGTCGAACTTAAATTGGGAGTCAAACTCAATCAGTATAGAACGTCAGTCATAATGCCACTCACGTCTTTTTTTCTTTTCAACAAGTCTTCTAAATTCTTTTTTTTTTGTTCTTTTATTTGAGTTCATAATAATAATAAACACTAGCGGGTTCTTTAATGAAAAGAAAAGTGGATTGCCGAAATGTAACACTTAAGTAGAGCATGATAAGTAAACAATCCTAGAAGAAGAATTAAAGTAATATCATATTCCCCAATCATTTACTAGCTAGAGGTGTCGTTTTTATTTCGAAAAGTCTAATTGTGATCATACAAAATAAAATAAGCGAACATGGTATTATAACATGAAATAATCGTCCTGACCGTCCCATTGAATCTAGCTCCTTCACCTTGAGAAGAACGGGTGTCCTCCAATCATCCTGTTAAGTGTGATGAACAAAAAAGAAGCATCATAAAATGCGCTAAGGTTGATTGAGCCAATGAAGTTCAAATTTAAAATGTGTTAAATTTTTCAGCTTTGGACTCGTTGTTGGAACTGTCATGTGAAGTCTCATGTATAAATATCGTAAGTCAAAATGGTTTGTGAAATTTTTTGAAGGCATTTTTCCAAAAAAATGAGAAGGCAAAGAAAGAGAGCTCAGAGACGGCGGACATGCTTGATATGAATTTCCTTTTTTGTTTTCATATGCTTGATATATGGCAATATAATTGTATGTAGCATTAATGTTTTTTTCATGTTTCAGTTTATTTCTAAGTGATACTTGAGTAATTAGCATGATCCACCTAAACAAATATAATACATTTACCACCTCTTATGATCAAGATTTGAGGTTTCGATTTAAGATTGTAATTCAAATACTTACAAACTAAAAGCATGTCATTTGACACACGGATAGCACTACACCAAAATAGTATTGTCCGCAAAAATTTAATTAAATGTAATTGCACATTCAAGATCACTATACTTAATGCTCTATTTTTTATATTCAATTTAAAAATCAATACATAAATCAAGATAAAGCTTCATTTCAAATGTTTATCTAAGTATATTTATATGCCAACTAAAGATGAGATTTGATATCTAGACTTGCCAACCCAAACAAATGTAAACGTTCCAAACAAGTAGGGCTGTCAGTCGGTAAAAGTCACGATTTATCCCACCAAGGCCTTAACTTATTTGCCTTTTCTAACATGTCAACTCCGTTAAATAAATCACTTGCGACAATAGGTATCATCTGCTTGACTATGTTCATTTCACAATTAGTGGAAACAAAGATGCTAAGCTCATCAAACATGTCTCGTGGCTCTGCCAGTAATGATGTAATTTTTTTAATTTCTCTTACTTTAGTAATTATTAAAGAGTATATTTATAATTTTTAATATAAATTCTTAAATATATATGTGACGTGAAAGAATTAAACAGGATGATTAATATATAATCGAAATGACAATAAATATTAGAATTAGAAAAATAACGTTTCAATTCATATTATTACTCTGTTTTAATATTTGTGTTGAAATATTATTTCAATTATATTAAAATCTTCATAATTTGATACACAATTCTTCAATTATTGTCATTTATAGTTATTTATACACAAATTATCTAATTACATTTATATGTATGTGTACCTTGAAAATATGTTGACATGTGTTCCAATATACTTTGATTCTTATTGTTAAAATGCTTTTGATATTCATAAATGTTAGGATTAATTTAAGAGAAAATTTTACATATAGCAAATAAAAAATTGCTAATTGTATGCTATAGCAAACTTTGTAAAATTGCAGTCCGTAGCAAAATTATAGTTTGCTATGGACTTGTCTTTCTGTATATTCGCTTGTCATTTTTTTTTATACATTTTGATAGTTTAAAAAAGAAAAGGGCGTTAATTTCGGTTAGAAAAAAAAGGAAAAAAATCACTGAAGTCACGCACGTTATGTTCCATTTGAATTCCCTTCCTTCTTGGTCGTCTTCAACAGTAAGAACTCCATTGTAACTCAATTCAGAAAATTGATCAAGCAATTGACTGTACTACACAAACAATCGAGATCATTGGACTGTAGAGATAGCAATAGGAGGTAATTTCATGACGAAAACATACTCTGATTTTGCTTTTTTAGGTTGAAGATGGTGTTCAAGATGTATTCAAAATCAGATTTCCTTTTTAACTATCATCAATTTAAGTTGAATGTATATTGAGAGGTGTATATTTTGTTCGAAATAGAGCTTAACACTTATGATTTGTATAGTTAATTTGTAATCTAGAAAAAATTGTGATCTGGAAATTTTCTGGATGAACTTGTTGATTATTTTGAATTTGTGATCGGAGATTGGCTCATTTCACAGTAATATTTGTGTTCGGATTTGTATATTTGCTTAGAGTTTATACGTATAGGTTTTCAGATATGATTCAGTAAGATATGTATAATACATATATGAAACTATTATGTGTATGTTTTATACAGTGCATCTTCATCATGATTTTGGATATATGATTGTTATACAAATGCAAAAATTTGTACTCTGTGAAAGTAACAATAACACTACACTTGTATGAAATTGTATAATTGTGTATAAAGTTATAATTTGTGTATATAATTGTTTATATATAAATGTATATGCAGAATGTGTATATAAACGTTTCTATGAGTATGTAATTGGAATATGTATATATGTGAATAACTGAAGTTGCTAGAATTTGTATAAATATACGTTATGTTTGTTGTTGAATTTCTTAATAGTATAAATGTATATGCATATATAATTTTTTTTTTATACAGAAATTTTGAAAATGGCTTCATTAGCTATTTTGGTTATGCATTTCGGTAGATGGGACAATAACAATTGTTACGTTGATTATACAATTGAGGGGGTGATTTTTAAAGAAAGTTCATTGTATAAGGAGTTGTATAATGTTATTGCAATGCAACTCGGTGTTGATACAAATGTGATTAAGCTGAAAATTAAGTATAAGGTTAAAGAAAGCAAAACGCCAATGTTGATTCACAACGACATGGGTGTTAGAGTGTATATCATGCTTAAAAAGGCTGCAGATGACTTTAACAAGTATCCAATTTGTATAAGCAAAATGGATAATAGTAGTAATATCACTGAACTGTGTGAAAGTTCAAATCAGGAGAATGATATGGTTACATCAATTTGTAATGATGGTATTGCTGATTTTGAGACTATGCAGCTGTGAATTGGTGAATTGGTAGAGCCACTTTGTGTCTTGGGGTCAGGGAGCTGCGATGGAGTCATTTCAGATCCTTGTAATAAGTACGCGGAGATTGACCAAGTGTATAAGAACAAAGCCACTTTGAAATCTGTGATGGAAAATTATGCAATTGAAAATAGATTTCAATATAGAACTGTGAGGTCAAATGCAATCAGGTAACTAGTTTATACAACAAATACATTAATGTATATGGTGTTTTAGTTATTTGTATATTGATATGTTGTGTAGTATTTGCTGATGTAGTTATACATTGGAATGTATTTCTGATGAATGTGAGTGGTTGATGAAAGCATCAAATATCAGCAAGTCTGGAATGTTTAGGATCCGAGCATTTAATACAGATCATACTTGTCCTTGAAGGATAAAGTGTATTCACAAAAACATGCAACAAGCAATCTAATTTGTGGGATCGTTAAGCCTAAGCTTGTTGATCACAAGAGAAAATATATACCTTCTGATATTCGAAGTGTGTAAAGATATATTTGGGAGTTGATGTAAATTACT